CCCTCTACATATACATGCACAGAGATACAAATATTATATAATAAACACACACACACACATGTGTATGTGCGTGTGTTTGTTTGTTTGCTTGATATTCCAGATGAATTAGGCAGTCCCCACCATTTTGTATAATGGCTACAAACTTTTCTAAAACTCTAGAGAAGCTTTCATGGAAAATTTTAATGATGACAATGCTTTGATGGATATTTCTTTTCATGTGATTGAAAGGGATAAACATAATTAGTATTTCTTTCTCTTTCTTTATTTGTGAGGTGTGGATGATAGGTAAATTTATTTATTCTAAGGGATGAAAGAATGAAGAAATTATTCATAGGGTATAAAATTATGGGATTAACTGAATTGGAATATGAATTTGTAATTATGTTCAATAAGTCAATCCAAATTCATTAGCTTGAAAAAAATAGTGCAAATTGATGATATATGGTCATATCCTATTTATTTTTATTATTCAGGACGTGTTCTGTCGTACTTAAAATTCAATTAAAATTGAAAATATAGTCGTTATTGAGCTTCACAGCAGGTTATTTTCAGTTGTTATTGACGATTAAAAAGTTAAAATTAGGCTAAAATTAGAGATGGCTTGTGCGGGAGTTATAACGTATCGATTTTTGGTTTTCAAGTTAATGAAATGACTAGATTGAAACTATATTACATACGAAATGATCAAAATATAATAGTTTAAAGTTTATGTTCATTATTGCTACACCAGTACAAGTTACTTGATTTGACAAATTGAAATTACGTAATTTCGACGGATCGAAAGTGTAATTTACGGGCACAATTCATTCAATTATTTTATCACTTTCCTTGTTTCGTGTAACACGGGTTCAATCCATTGACTAGGTCTAGTGCTTAAAGTATGATAATTATCCCTTTACTATTGAATCATAATATTTGACTACAAACGACCTTTCACATTGGATTTCTTAACAAAATAAACAATAGAAATTTATTATGTGTAATAGAATCTTTCTTTTTCTTTTTTACAATCCCGACATAGATGTAATGACAAAAGGTCCACACCAATTCATTTCCTTTTCTTTTTTCCATGCAAAAGTGAAGCCAACTAGCAAGCAATTAAAAAGAGCTAAAGAAAATTGACAATTTCATAGATTATTTTACTTTCTTAATCATTTATGAAAATTTAATCAAGTTTAAAATGAATATAACTTTTATGTAAACAATTTTGATCAATATATATAGAATCTAGCTTTATACTCTTAAACAAGCACATAGCATACTTTGTTACATGCTAAATCGACTAGAATAGAAACATTTCGGGTGCGTTTGATTGCATTTATTTTTTTATGAAAAATGTCAGTTTTCCACCTAAATTCTTACTCTCAAGTGTTTGATTGCTATTTTTTTTTCATGAAAATTATTTTTCAACTTTTAAAAATATACCTAATTTTCGTTATTTTTAAGGAAAACATTTTCTTTAGAAGGTATGTTTTTGTTTTCTTCGAAATAAGGAAAATATTTTGATTTTTAAGATATATTTTCTATGCCAATCAAACACGCTCTTCATTATAATTGTAGAATCATCCTATTGAAAATATAAATGGTCTAAATCTCTATTAAATAATCACGTCACCATGTGATACGATAGTTAATGGAGATGTAGAATTTTTAAAACTATAAAACATTGAACTTGGTTTCAAAACAAGCAGCTAGGGTGGTGCCATTTGCCCTTTATATAACCAAAATAGAAAGCATAAAATAAAAGGCGATTGAGAGTGGCAAACAACAAATCTTCAAAAGCCATTTAGATCATATCAATCTACCCTCGAATTTCTTGGGCTTCGAGTAATGAATTTCGATTGATGGAATCAAAATCCAGCGATTGATCTTCAAAGCATTTTCCATCTCACTACCATAGATTCACTTGGTCTCTTTCTGACAAAGAATTTCTTAGGTTTCCATCGTGTCATATGCTAAATTGCAATTGCATTCATTGAAATCTAGGTTAAACATACTTATCGGTATTTAATTCAAATATATTTGTAAAATAAGTTATTAATTAGCTAAATAATAAAAGCTAGTAATTTAATTAGCTTAATAGAGGGAGCTCCCATCATCATTGAGCTCCTTTTATGTAGTATATACGAGATAACTGATGTAACATTGTATGTGTGTTACTTTATGCATGATCATGTACATATATTATAGTGTTAATTTTTTACACCTTTATTCTTTTGTCCCCCACCATCCATCATATTAACAAAAATAAAATATCTTGGTTCGTTTGATGTCCTCTTTAATCATGCCAAAAAGAACTTAAAATGAGTCAATATGTAATTTTAATTAAAAATAAAAAATAAACTTGTTATTATTGTATTAGAGACAATATGGAAGACATACGTTCGTTTTTTGCCGACACCCTTGAATTTTATGGCAATTGTGCACGTATCAAAATTCTGACGGAAAAAATAACTTTGTATTCACGTGAAATGAGAAGTTGAAAACGAGAACATTTGAATGAACACATGTAATATCTACCTCCATTCCTCAACCACTCGAACCCCCAACACTGCCACCCAAGTCTTCTCTCTTACCACACCCTTCTTTTTATTTTTATTATTTTCGTCTTTCAATCCAAAGTAAAGTTCATAATAATTTTTTAAATCTAATTCTCAATTCCATAGAAGTTCAATGAGGTGAATACGATCCTAAATTACGAGAAATATGCATACAATAGGTTTGATTATGAAGAGAGAAGTAAATAATAGATTTGATTATGCCAATCCCTAATCCTACTTTAGGCGAGGCATAATCAAGGGTCTATACATGCTTAAAAGTACGAAACGGTTATTTGGGAATTGTTTCAAGCTAATGTAAATTTCTTTCTTTTTTGGACGAAATAAATTAATGACGATAAAAATTTCAATGTGATTATGGAATATGGTTGAGTCCTTGTTCTTGTTCCATTCTCAAATCCTTGAGCTTATGAAGTCTCGTTTGTGTACAATTCATGTAAGCGGCAAAATAGATGGAATTTGTCAATTAGGCCTAACTGGGCGCGTCCAAGTCGTAAACGATCCAATTATTTCCAAAAAAGAAAGTAGGGGCCTTTCTCTTTAACCAGTTGCTGTAAATGAAGGTCCTTTTCTTTAATATATTCCACAAGTAAAAAGGAGATTCTATACGATGGTGCAAAAACGAGGCTCTAAGGTTCACAATATAACAAAAGTTCCACTCTTATCAAAAGTCACTTGAACAAATTAAAAGCAGCACTTAATCAATTATTATTCTTTTACGGGACCCATAAGGGATTTGGAGTAAAGAAAATTTCACAAATCCGAAAAGCATATAAAAGAAGAAGATGAGAAGAATATGGCCTCAAGAATCAAGAAAAGTGAGACAAAAGGAACTAGTCACAATCCCACTAAAGAATATTTGCTATTTGTCCTAGCAAATTTATATAGTTTGACATTTTTGCCCCTATTGAAGTGATGCAAGCAATACATCACGTAATAGTTTTTATCAATGCACTTTGACATCAGCCATGACACTATTTGGCATGGAATATTTATGTGTTGAAGAAATAAATATAAATAAATTTATTTATTTATTTTCAATAGTTTAAATGTTTTAAAATTTTATGGTAGTAAGATTTGATTATAGGATCTTTGGTCACTCTAATATCAAATTAAATTGTATAATTTGGAAAGTAAACTAGCAGGAATTGAAAAATATCATTTTTTCCCACTCAAATTCATACTTGTAGAGTGTTTAATTGACATTTTTTTAATGGAATATATTTTCCAAAAGTTCGTTACGTGACCATATTTTTTTCAAAAATAAGGAAAACATTTTCTTTAGGAAGGAATATGCTTTTATTTTTCATACAATTCATTCTCTCTCCCTCTCTCATGTACCCACCAATCAAAGATTGACAAGTATATCATTTTCTATTTTGAAAATTAAACCAATAAAAAATATTTAATTAATAATTTTTATGCAAATAAATTCTAGGTAACATTCCATGCAAATTCCATACTTGTAATCAAATGCACATAGAAACTTTATTGTAGCTTGCGTTATTCCCACAAACCGAAAAAGGGTTGGATTATATTTTATTTACACAAACCGCGTGCAATATAGGAAGAAAATTGAAGGGTCTCTTCTTTCTTGAATTCAAAATTCTCCAATCTCCTCTCCAAAGTTTAGATTCGACTTCCGCTTGTTTACTTTCTCCAATTCAGAATGCTTCAATCTCCTCTCCTGCTCATCTCAGCATCTCTAGTAATTTCCAATTTTTTTCCATTCAAATCAGGGCCTCACATCTTCAAGTATCAGGTATAATTGGATAGATGAATTTGCTGTCTCGATTTGACAATTTGGGAGGAATGTAGAGAAA